TATTCCTGGTTTTAAGTCGATTTTTGCTGATTTCTGCTGCTGTACTTGCTGTCACTGTTCTGCTGTGTTGATCCTCTACCTTCCTTTTATTTTATTTCCCAGGTACACAACTTTGTAACCCTGTCGATTGTGAAGTGAAAATTTGAGGGTTGAATCAATTTGAAGAATTCAAGCATGAGAATTGTCCCATTTTTGTTTTGCTGGTTTGTTTTGTAGTGCGCTATTATTTTGTCCAAGTTTAGCTTCGAATGAATGGTTTTGTAATTATCAACTGAAATGATATGGATTGTATGTGTTAGACTTTCGGTTCCCCTCTTTGATTTCCTTCATGTTTTTGAATGATTTTGTTCATTAATAGACATCTAATGCATTAGGTTCACTGTTGTAGTATTATGTGTTAAAATCTGGTTCACGACTAGTTCGGTTAAGCTCTTAACGGGGTTTGCTCATGTATGGTTAGTAATGATATGCAAGTTATAACTATTGAAAGGTTTCACTCGGGGTGGGGGCAAGTATCAAGCTTAGCATTAAGCCTGTTAAGAATGTGGTGTTTATTTATCAACATATTTAATTCATGAAAGTTGTATCTAAAATAGCTAATGTCGTTCTCTTGAAGTTTTAGACTAAAGCTGTTTTGGGGTTAAATTATTTCTCTACTGTTTGGCATTGATTTCTTTCATACGTGTGGTTTCTTTCAATTTGGGCTCGTCGTAGGCTAGAAATTTATCAGCACCCTAATTTAATTAAATTTTCCTAAATTGTGAGCTCGTGGGGACTTGATCCCGAGTCCCAACTCCCGTTGGCTTCCGATTGGGCTTATGTTGAGGTCCAGCATTGGAAACAACTTGATATGAGTTGAAAACATTTTTCCAGGGCTCATGTTGGAAGCCCAAAAAAAAATACTGAGGGCCAGAATTCTTTTTGAAGTCATAATTTATATGTGTAATGCAGGCTTAAGCCGAAATTTCAAGGCCAAAGATTTGTCATAAGTCAAAACCGTTTTTTTTTTTAAGATTATATAGGAGCATGGAAATTGATTTGCAATATGAATTTAGGTTTTCGAGCTAGGTAGCGGGTTCAAATTAAAAGGGTCCCTCCTTTTGTTTGAATTCGGACTTGAACTCGAGGCCCAAATTTATAAATGTAAATTAATTAGGCCCTTTTAGAGACAAAAATAAATAGAAAAATCATAGTTGCATTAGGTTGGCCTTTAAATAAAAGTGAGATGAGCTTCGCCAAACAAAATGCATAAATCGCAGGGCCCTCATTAAATGCTTTATTAAAAATATTTTAGAAATTTGGGACATGCCATTTAGCGAATTTTCATGGCTTCCCGCAAAGTTAATAAGGCGCTAGCCACGTTAGGCACGCTTTTAATAATTTTACTTTCCTAAACTCGGGTGCGCATTTCATGCAACCCAAATCCAAATCCCAAAACGTTGAATAAGAGGTGTTTAGGATCCGGGTGCATTTCATGTGACGTGATCCAAAAACACGCTCTTAAACGGCGTTCACTTTCGTAAAAACAAAATAAACTAAAAGCGGTAAATAATCTTAAAATTGCACTATAGGTTTAAATATGTATAAAAACCAGATTTTAGCCATTTATGATAATTTAAGCGACCGTGCTAGAACCACGGGATCCGGGGGTGCCTAACACCTTCCCTCGGGTCAACAGAATTCCTTACACAGAATTTCTGGTTCGCAGACTCCAATTGGGAAGTCGAAATTTTCCTCGATTTGGGATTTAAATTAAATCGGTGACTTGGGACACCAAAAGCTAATCCTATCCCAAGTGGCGACTCTGAAAAAATAAATAAATAATCCCATTTCGAATAATGTCACTTTAAATGGAAAAACTCCCTTATACGTATATCCTTCAGGGTATGTAAAAAAGGAGGTGTGACAGACACTTTATATTCTTAAGCAAGAAGGTCTTGAGTTCCTTCTGCTTGAAGGGCTTATTTAGCCCTCTGATGTTCCATGAACACACAATCATGGGGGGGGGGGGGGGGACTTATCACAGGCTCGAGTGTCCCTTTCCAAGCTTTTGGTAATATCTTTTGGTTGAATTCTCAGCGAGCTGAATTTGTTTTTGCCTCGTACCACATCTGCTAGGGTAATTTTTTCCTCATGCGACTCAATTTTTGCCTTATGCGACTCAATTTTTGCCTCATGCGACTCGACTGAGAAGGTAAGTTTCCGTGCTGCCAAGTTCACATCTGCTTCCGTTGGTTTTTGTATTTCTTTCATCTTCATAGGTTCATCTTTTGTTGGAGCTTGTAGAATTGTGGGAGCACTCCCCATACCTTGCATCCAGTGAACCAATTGAGGTGGTTCTAGGGTTTGGGGAACTCCAGATTCCGGCGTTACCATCCTGTTTTCTGAGTTTTTATCCTTGTTTGCTTCCAGGACTGTGTCGTTGCGTCGTTTCCGGTGGGTCATCGGGTAAGGCGTACGTTAGCTATTCCTTGCGTAACGTGCGCCTCAAGAGGAGATCCCAATACACTACTACCTTTATACCATGGAGTAATTTGATAAAACGTATAGGATCTTTTCACCATTAATCACTAAAATCGAATTTGATCCCTAAAAATGAAGAAAATTCAGAATATGAGGCAATTTTCCTTAATAGGTCCTACGACGTAAATTTAAATTAACGAAACAAGCGAATACCGAATAATTTATAACAGAAAAGAAATGACATAAAAATGTTCAAAAATGATGTGTCATACACGAGAGAAAAAAAATGATAGTCTCAAGAAAATCGACAAACTGCACCAACCCAATAATCCGAGTCAAACCGAGAAAAAAACACGACTATGATTTGTTTGATTTTGTTTAGTGTTGGAAAAAAAACCCGACCATAATTGGTTTGGTTTTAACTAAAAAAAGTCAAACCGAAACCAAACCAACCAGACATTACATATATAGAAATTTTAAATATATTTATTATATAAATATACTTATTGTGATGTAATCTATTAATATTTCTTAAAATTTTTCATAATTTTATCTTTTAAGTTATTATTTCAAGGTTGTGCTTAGAACTTTTGAATGTTCCAATAAGTTTTATAGCCATTAATATTAATAAATTAAATAATGCTAACAAAAGCCCAAACCAAAATCAAATCAATACTAATGCTAACAAAAGACATTCAGTTCAATACTACGAACGAGAATGTATTGAATATTTATTTTTTGTTTTGCAATAATTTAGATAAAAATGCATAATCTATTTTTATTTTTTCTTTAGCGTTTAGTCATGTAATTAATACTCCCTTATTAGTCTACTTATTTTAGCATGACTTAGTACTTTTAGATTATGGTTATTTTTATATGGCTTTTTAATTAGCAATATTTATATTACATAATTTTATTGTCTTTATTGTTGAATATTTTAGGATAATGCCATGACACATCTCATATTTTGTATTATTTTCTTGGAAAATACTTTATATAGTTGTATCTTACTAGGATCAAAGAAATATTTTGAGCATAATTTATATATTTTGTTCTACGAAGATTTTAACGGAAAAAACCTCGAAAAAACCCGAAAACCCGAGATCGAAAAATCCGAGTTTTATTGGTTTGGTTTGGTCTTTAGGTTTAATTATCCGACACAATTAGTTTGATTTGGTAATTGTAAAATCCGAATCAACTCGACCTACGTACACCCCTTAACAAGAGCAATAAATTTCTCCTCGTTAGTGTCAATATTTTACTTCAACTAAAACCCCAATACACATTCCAAAAGTCAACAATTTTAATATTGTAAATAACAATTTTAATTCATCACTTCATTTTTCTGACGTGTCAAATTCCCATTAGCTTATTCTTTCAATAAAAAAAAAAATACTGGTTTAAGTCTTATTCTCTAATAAAAATAGTTGGGTGCAAGATATAAACTTATCTATTTGGTGTTCACTTGGAACTCATTTACTAGAGCACATAAAAATAAGTTGCCTTGAACATATCTTATTTAGTAACAATAAAGATTTTTTAACAAAATATTAAGGTATATTAAGAAGGCATAAGAAATACCGCAGAAAATACGATGTTAATCTTAAGGCGGAAACATTTATTTGAGAATACGATGTTTCCCAAATTATTGGCTCCTTTTAGGTGAATATAATATTTCGATATTCCCAATAAGAAAGATAGTGAGCTTTATTTATTTGGTTGATAAAAAAAATTGCACATTACAATTAAAGTGATTCATTATTCTCCACTATAGTTAAACCTTTCTATAATAGTCTCGTTTGTTCCGATATTTTTTGGCTGCTATAGTGAATTGCTGTTGTAAATGATATAAACTATAACATAACATGAAAATCGGTTCTGAAAAAAATTTAACTTTTATAATGAATGATTGCTATATAGAGATACTGTTATAGAGATGTTTGATTACATATCGATGCCGAACACTCGATACTTCGTGTACTATAGCAATTTTACTATTTGTTGGCACTAATTTGTTAATACTCTTAATTTAATTTTTTTGGCCATTTTCACACATATTAAGGGATTCATCTTTCATATTAAATTTAATTTGTTCATTGAAAATATAACAAATACTTCTAGGTTCTTTACTCCAAGGGTAACTTGGAAAAAAGAACTTAATTCCTTCTTGATATCTGAAAAAGCCAAATATTATTAACCACAAATAAAACTAAAAAAATCAATTAAAGTGGACCGGAGGGAATATAATCAAATTATTACATGTAATTATACCGCAAATGTGAACGAAAAACTTTAAAACAGAAGTAGATAAGTTTGTGTATTCAAATCAAATTACACAAATTATGTGCAAAACTGTTTATACAATTAGTGACATTGAAATAGAAAAAAGCTTATATTTGGAATACCCGTGAAATGTTACAATAAAATAAAAAAGTTTTTTTCTTTTGCAAAAAATATCTTCCTAAATTTGAACGAAACCCCTTTAAATAATTCTAATGAAATAAGAAAATCCAAAAAAAATTCCACATAGAACTGAAATACTCCAAAATTTCGATACAATCAAAGCAGCAGAGAAATGATCAACTGAAAACCCAACATAAGAAAAGGGTCTATAAAAGCGAACCATACTCTTCTATACCCTTTATTATTTCCCCATTTGCTCTCTATCTAGCTGTTCACTCTCTTCGTATTCTCCGCCACTTTCTCTCTTCAGATCCATTTTCTTTTTAGATCCATTCATTCAACAATGGCTTCTTTCGCCATCTCTTCCCTTTCCTGCTCCTTCAAGCAGAATCAGGTCTATTTTCTTTATTTTCACTCTCAAATCTGTTCTTTAGATCCATTCATTCAACAATTAGACCCTTTTGTTGTTTATTCTTGTGTTTTTTTGTCTGAAATCTTATCTGCGTAGCTTTATATTTGTGAGTTTCTTGAATTTTTTGGTAAAGATTCTATTTTTACTATTTTCTTGCTGATGTGTTTTAAAATGTTTGGATCTTGTTATGTGACTTGTTTGGAGGATATTTTGGTGATGAGAAGTTTTGATTTTGCTGCTTTATTACTGATTTTCATGTGTCCTTTTTAACGATTTATTTGGGAATGACTGTTATATAATGGGAATTTGTTTCAGAGATTCTTTAGGTGATAAAAAGATTGGATTTTGCAGCTCTTTAAAACTATTTATTTGGACCTTGCATTTTTTTTTGTCTTTCTAATAGGTTAGATCTATTCATGATAGAATGTGGTAGTTGTGAAAGATTCTATTGAGGAGGAAAAATCTTCATTTGCAGCTTCACCGATTTTTTTTGTACTATAAATCTTTAGAACTAGGATACAGTGCATGTTATTTAACTTCTTTTATGTGTTTGATAGTTTCTTTTGTCGATTAATTTGATGTTTAACTGATAAATTATAATAAAAACCAAAGCTTTCATGAAATTGCTTAAGCAAAGCTATCGGTGGAACACCAAAGGGAATTGTTGTTGCCACTTATGGAAAGTTTGAATTCTCATAATTTTCCACCTATTTTGCTAGAGCAATTTATTAGACTTATGCAACTCTTTATCTGTGTGTTTTACTTTCCTCTGTATTTATATCAGTCATGGCTATATAACTCTATTGAGTTTGTTCCCTTGATTTGGTGCAGGTGCATTTGAAGGGCTCTTCTCTTTCTGTTAAAGGAGTGAGCTTCCCTTCTCTCAGGTTGAAGCCAGCTACTCGTCGCTTCAGCATTTCCTGTGCGGTATTGTCTTTGCTTCCTTTTTATTAGAATTCTAATCCAAGCTGTTCGGATAATCTTTTTCTGGAAAATTGACATTTCTACTTGTATCACAAGTAATGCATGTTTAATAGTGTTGGCTTAGTGTTATATTTTGTTTAGCTGATAAAAGAGATAAGTGATTCTACAGTGCGTGGTATTTGGCAATTGGCAATTCTGTTGTATGAATGCTTTGCTTTCTTTTACTCAATGTAGTACTCCTATCTTAGATGACAAGATTTATTCTGTATACCTAACTCTTCTACTTAAAATTAATAATAGGAAGAGGAGGGAAGGAGTAACATCATCTATCTTCTGAATTTTGGGGACCAAAATTTGAAAGCATTTATGTGAACATGTGTTCAGTGACAGTGACACATGGTGCAGGAAAATATGTGCTTATTAGAAATTAACTTAACCCCGTGTCACGTATTAAAACTAAGAAGTGTATTTGTGCAGGCTAAACCAGAGACAGTCGACAAAGTGTGTGAAATTGTGAAGAAACAACTGGCTCTTACTGACGATAAAGTAGTCAATGGAGAGTCAAAATTCACAGCACTTGGTGCTGATTCTCTTGACACGGTATGTTCACTCAACAACAAACTTTTGCTGTGCTAGTTCCCTGAAATGTTCTGTCGTTCAAAATGGCCCTTGAAACTTTTGTAAGTGTCTGGAAATGGGATTCACCTTAACATATTTAGAACACTAATGATAATGTTATATTGCAGGAATGTAAAAGTAAAGTGGTGTGCTTTCATTTAGTAACTCTGACGAGCTACTTCCATATGTAAACCGTTCTCTGAATTTTCAGAATGATCATTCTGAACTACTTAAAATATGATTAAGTGCTGTTTATAACCATATTATACAAGAGATACCCAGCTTTACTCTTATTTTCTGTAACTAAGACACCCCACCCTTCTAGTAGTGTAGCTTTAGCTGCTTGTTTTCTTTTCTTGTCGAGTATTGAACCTCCAATAGTTCATTCATGCTCTTCCTGCAACCAAATTTCTCCTGTTAGAGGATCTCTATATAAAACGCTCAGCCTTGTTCAAAATATTGTGCAAGTCGCGTTTTGGAATGCATCTATTGTCATTTATGCATTGTGTGAATTCTGCTCTGCGGGGCTTAATTGACTTGGTTATTAATATTATCGTTCATGTTCAGGTTGAGATTGTCATGGGACTTGAGGAAGCATTTGGAATCACCGTGGAAGAAGAGAATGCACAGACTATTGCAACAGTTCAAGATGCTGCTGACTTAATTGAGGATCTCATCTCCAAGAAAGCTTAAGAAATATTGAGTTATAGAGCTTGCCTAGCAAAATTAGGTTTGGTAGGTCTCATTTTGGTTGAAAGTTTGCCTATCTTATTTAGTCGTTTAATCGTCATGTCTCCTTATGGAGAGCGTCTATTGCAGTTTGTTCCAATGAGCTATGTCTAGGTAAAAGGATTTCTTTCATCTCTCGTCTTGTTTCTTTAATTTACTGTAAGACATTATGGTCATAATTAAAGATATCCTTGTACTATCTGTGTTTTCCTACTCCATTCTGTAGTTTTTTTTTTTTTTTTTGCCTACAGAGAAATTACAATGTTCTTCAAGCTAATCGTTTAGCTAGTTGGGCAAAACTTGAAGAAAGAATAAGTGATGTTTTAGGTTTAACTCATTAAGAATTCTTGAATATGTTGTGTGTTACAAATGATAAGTGCAATATTCTTCTTACAGTCTCTTAGACTCCAAAAATGATAGCACTATTCACCACAATAGCAAAAGCTTCAATTGGATTTGGAAAATTAAAGCCCTCAACAAGATTAAGTTCTTTATTTGGATTCTCCACCACAACAAATTACCTACTAATCAATACATTATATTTTTGTCGACTGCAGCAGTGTTAAAGCCTTTGGGAATACCATCATCCAAAGTTGCTACAGTAAATAGCTGTGTCGTTTATTCTCCTGATGAATGGTGCAACACCTGGAATTTAATTAAGAACAATTCTTTTAATAGCTTTTTATCTTGGAAGAACTAATCCCTTTCTGTTTATGGCATATTTGGTTAGCTAGAAATAACAATCTTTTTTTATTAGAAGAAGGCACACATCAATTCAATGTTACTAAGAATACTAGTAATGTAAAATGGGAACCTCCATTAATTGGGAACTATAAACTTAATACTGATGGTTCTTCCTTTGGCAACCCAGGTGTAGGGGGAATTAGAGGAGTTATACGTAGTAGTAGTAGTAGAAGATAGGTGGCAAATGGGCGGGTTTGGCTGAATTTGGGCGGGTCAAGATGGGTTAGGTTAATAAATGGGTTATTGCCCAATCCAGCCCAAAGTGTACTTGGGTTAAGATAGGCTGGGTCAAGATGGGTCAAACAATGGGTCATAACCCAACCCGCCCAACTTGATCAATGTTTTAGAACCGTGCTCATCTTGCATTAGAAAACCTTTTACCTTAAAATGTGTAAGTTGAAAAATATTTTGCGGTGGGGGGAGGGGGTAGAGGATAGGGTGGGTGGGTGGTGCAGAAAAACAAAAGACAAAAAATTGAAATTNAGGGGGGGGGGGGTTATGGGGTAGGGTGGGTGGGCGGTGCAGAAAAATAAAAGAACAGAAAATTGAAAATACGAAAAAAGAAAAAGTAAAATTGGGACAACTAAGTAAATTTCTAGATAAGTTGGGTCGAGATCACTTTGTTTTGGGTGAGTTTCATGGGTTGTGTTTGGGCTGCTTAATGGGTCAGAATGAGCCATAAAAAATAATGGGTTAATTTGGGTTCAACCCAAATTGACCCATGCCCTAAAATATTTTTAGCCAAACCCATTGATCTCTGGGCGGGTTGGATGAGTTTGGGCTCAAATTGCCACCCCTAGCAGTAGAGGTGATTGGACACTTGGCTTTATAAAGGGAATCCCAAATAGTATCAATACTTTGATAGAATTACTCCCATCGTTTCAATTTATATGAACCTATTTAACTGGGCACAGAGAAGACTTTGTGACACATATGTTTTGTGTGGCTATAAATCATCGTATAGAGGTAAACTGTTTACAAATATAAACAGTTTTGCACGGACTGAAAAGGAATTAAGTTCACCTAAATTGAAACGGAGGGAATATAACTTATGCAGGGACTCAAATTGCAAACAATTTGTTGCCTTTGGAAATATGCACTGACTGAGGTATTAAATTTTATCAACAGTAGCCATGAATCTTATAGCTCTATAATTTGTGAATGCAAGTCATCGATGCAACGACTGGGAGATCCAAAACTCTCGCAGAGCAGAACAAGGTCGCAGACCTCTTAGCCAAGAAGCAGTTATTTGATCGTATTAGGATTTTGGCCAGTTATACATTGGGTCTAATTCCATTGTTTAAGTCTTGTTCTTGTAATAGATAGTTGATAAAGTTTCACTGTAAACTCATTTGATTTGTGTTCAATTCAATAGTATATTACAGTTTTTAAGAGAAAGTTCGACTTGTAATAGTAATTTAGTAGCAAACAATGGTACAGTCTGCGCAGGGAACAATAGTGCTCCCTTAATTTGTAATATTGCTATTTAATCTTCTTTAAATAATAGTTAACCAAAAAAAAAAAAAAATCAACAGCAGTCTCATGTCTGTGAGATTAACAAATAACAATGTTATGCCCGAAAGTCATAGCATCTATGATGGACATAACTGTCTTGCTCAAGATTCAATCTCGCCTTCACACCATTAAGTTTCTAAGAGAACCAATAATTCTTGACCCCCATAACCATCACTGTCATACCCTTTTTTCGGTACTTCTGATGATGCTATTGGAATTTTGACTTGCGTTAATTGATTATACCCTAAAAGGATAGTGACGTGATCCAAGTGATGATAAATAAAAGGCCTAAAATTAAATACTATGTGTGTGGATAAGTGAGACCAAATAATAATTGGCCTGTGATGGGTAGACACTCTTTATAAATAGAGGCCAACTCCCCTTTTCGTAGCTATTAGAAAACCCTAACAGTAGACATCCCATTAGTCAAGTTCTCCGGACTGTGAGAGCGTGTACCTAGTGGATTGTAAAAGTTGGTCTCAGGCTTAATCGCCAGCAGATCCATGAAGTTTAACGGTACGCTTCCTTAATCTCTAACTCTAGATTAATTGCATAATTATGTCTTAATCTCTGCTACGGCTGCGATTTAATTATTTTACAGTTGGTATCAGAGCCACCATAGTTAGGGATTAAGATCAAAGAAATTAATCATGAGTTAGTAATAGTTGAACTCATTGTTTTAATCTAAATTAATTCGAAGCTGATGAAAGAAGAGGGAATGACACAGTTATCCACAAAAATAAAATTATTTACCCTTGTCTACCCATTTATTTTCCTACCCATCAAACTAATTACATTTCCTACCCATAGTAGTTTTTGTGGGAAATTTTTTTTTAATTCTTTTTTATTTCGATGCTTCTTTTCTTTTTTTCCTTTTTTTTCTTTGTTTTCTCCTTTTTTTTCTTCTCGTTTTGCTTCTTATTTTTTCTTTTTTCCTTTTCTAATTTCATTTAACTTCTTTTTTTTTTATTTTCTTTTTCTCTTCATAATCTAATTTCATTTACTATTTTCACTATTTTTTATTTTTCTATTTTTATACAGCAAGAAAAAATAACTGATATAGTAAATATTTGTTCACCTTTTTTTAATATAACTAGTACAATTTACCTTTTGTTTTTTTTTCTTTCTCATTTTTAAAATTCAATTATTAAACTGAAATAATAACAGTTTTCACTTGATCTAATTCATTGAATATCGATTGACTGCTGCTGAGCACCATAAATTACATAACTAGATTCTAAGAATCAACACGTGATCGCCATGCAAACATTGGTCTCATTCCCTATAAATATCAGTACGCACTCTACCATTAGCAATAATACAACCAGTTATAGAGCCAAAAAACGTAATCTACGGCAACCAAATCTCCATATATACTAGTTAGAATAAAAATGATAATAAATATTGAAAAATTGCAATCAAAGTATAAGTAGCAAAAAAGACTTCTAGTACCATGTGACACCAATATGGTATATATGTATACCAACAGAGCATACGATTTCTCTAGAATATTGCTACAACTATCTGCGACTATACTACTGTACCAAAATATTAAAGGATGCTATAAAAGTATTATAAAATTACATGTTCGTATTGCAAGCTAAATATTGCAAAACAACTTGCTCATAATACACATAATTTATGTCCATCGGCACACAAAAATTCCAGCATTGCAACTCATGTTCATATAAATAATTTCATAATAGAATTCACTTAAAATGCAGCTAAATCAACCAAAACAATGATCAAACTACCATATGACACCAATATGGCATATAACTATACCAACATGGTATACAGTTTTACTGGTTAATTTCCGGCAACTATATGACTATACTACTATTACGTCACACGCATGCATAAAGAGAAAATAAAAAAATAGTGTACCACATATTAATATAATAAGGTATTTCAAGAATTGTACTATATTACTATTATTAAAAGAAAATCAAAATATTGTACCAATTAAATGCAGCTAATACAACCTAAAAATGATTCAACTAGCATATGATACTAATATAGTATATAGCTATACTAATAAGGTATATAGTTGGAATGAATAGTATACTAAAATGGTATATTTGTATACTATTTGGGTATACAATACAAATTCGTCTTCTTCTCTGGTTCACCTATATTTCAACCCAAATTTCTAAAATCAACTACAAATCTCCACCAAATTGACTAAAACTTTAGCTACAACTTCCAATCAACTTTCCAAACAAACCCATACAGGATCGGATCAAAATAATTAAAAACTCAAATAAATCAAGTTATGAGTTTCAAGCTTCAAGTGTCCTTCAATGGTGGATTTAATTTTTTTTGCAATAAATCTCCAAAAACCCGCATTAAAGGTACAATCTACACATCAAAGAACAATAACTAACGAATTTCAACAGTAAAACAATATAAAAAAAATCATATCTGTCATTGCGAACTCATTCATATGGAGTTTCAATTTTTTTTGTTTCCAGATTTGAAATTACATCCATTATTTTTATGTGATAATGATTAATAATCAGTTGAAAAGAAGATTATCACGGTATAGTACTTTTGGAAGTTTATGATGGTATTTACATGATTGTGGATCTTTCAAATGGGAAGGAAATAATATCATATGGTCAAACGAAACTAGGGATGGGTAGGCTGGTAATTAGTTTTGTTAGAAAGGTATATAATATAATAAGTTTAACAATGGGTAAAGACGGGTAAATACTTTGATTTTAATATGTAGCTTGTGTAATTTCCTCCATAAAGAAAACGCTTCTGTCGGCCCACGTTTCTGCGGCTTTTGTGAATTGTGTTTCAACGGAATTAAACATTCCTCGCGTATTCTTATATTGTAATTGTGCACCAAATAGTTATTTATTTGGTCGAAAAAAATGGTCCATGTTAATTAGAATTGATGTTGCCAGTGACATCAATTGGAGAAATAGGGTT